GCAACATGGGTCCAAATCCAAATGTCTCTTAAAAGTAGAGCAGCTTGTTGAGCGTTTAGGTGGTCAGTCCCCCAACAGCCCTACGAGATCAGTACTATTATTATCCTGGCTCCCCAGCATTTTTCTGCAGCTCAGAAAAATGAAGTCACTGGCCTGAGGCCACACAGCAAGTGAGCAGCAGATCGAGCATTCAGACCCCGACCCTGGCTCCGAGCAGCGGTGCTCCTCTTGCTGCCTGTCTTTTGTGGCCTGTGGCTGTCCTGGGTTTTGAGTGTGGAGGTAGCTTTGTCAGCACCTATACCAGTGTCTGCACATCCTAGGGACCTGGAAGATGGATGGATGGATGGATGGGTGGGTGGGTGGATTGATATGAAATCCAGTCTAATCACCAATGCATGGTTGGTTGGGGTCAGTAAAATCTTAAACTCATATAGCATTTAAAGATTTGTATTCCCATTTTTTATGTATATCTTAAATTGCACAGTTAGCCTGTTGAAGGCAGGGGTCCTCACTGGCCAACACTCGAGTTCACTCATGATGTCTCCATGTCTGTGGGTGTCAGATGCTCCTGTCCTTCTGAAAAAGGATTTGGATATAGAAGGTCCTGTCGTAGAGACTGAAGGGGTGACTCACTCTGAAATATTTGTGATGTATCCCTCATCCACCTTACAGGGGCACTTTAACACATACGGTCACAAATATAAGTACTAAATAAAGCCACAGAGCAATTTCATTTTTTGTTAACCCTCACTTGAGGATTTCCCCCCCTCCCCATTGATTTTGAGAGAGTGGAAGGGAAGGAGGGAGGGGTGGAGAGTGAGAGGAACATCGATGTGAGAGGCACATGGATCGGTTGCCTCTCCCATGAGCCCCAACCAGGGCCGGGGATTGAACCTGCAACCCAGGTCCATGCCCTTGACTGGACTCAAACCCATGACCCTCAGTCTATGGGCTGACGTGCTAACTACTGAGCCAAACTGTCCAGGGTGAGAGGGACGTTTTAAATAAAGGGGGACTCGTGTCTTATATCACGGTGTGCCCAGTGTCTAGACCAGACTGGTGCTCAGTAAAGTTCTGTTAAAGGGAGAGTGGGGGAGGCAGGCGAGGGGCGGGGTCTGGAGTGTCAGCTGAAGGACAAAGTGAATTTCAGGAATGA